GCTCCCTTAGTCAGAAAAGCTGGCGGTTAGTGCTTAAACAGAAGTCTCAGAGGCCCTGCTTTCGCAGGTGATGCTCTGGTCGTGAGCCCTTCGAAGCCATCGGGGACTCTCCCTGTCCCTGGCAGGGGCCATGGTGGCCGGTTTCCCCCACCGCTGGCCTCCACCCGCGGGTGGAAGTGCCGCCAAAGCATTTGGCTGCCAGGGAGCCGCTGTGCTGGTGGAGAAGGCGAGCAGGGAGTTGACTTTCAGGGAAGGGAGGGAGGGAGAAACGCCCAGCGTGGCATGATGGCATCCAGGATGTGCACAGGGTGAAAGGACTGAGCTGCCCAAGGAAGGGTTTTGGGAAGAGCCATGGCTGGGGACGCAGCCACTGCTTCTGCATTGGTGGCTGTGAGCTGCACTTTCTGCCCAACCGCGGCATCACCGTCCGTGCAGAGGATGCCTTCTGCCAGTCCTGCGCCTGGGCTGATCCTTCCTCTCTTTTTTTTGGTGTCCCACTGCAGAAGAGTCGCCGTGTGAGAGCAGAGTGTGCCAGAACGGTGGGAGGTGCCAGGCGGTGAACGGGATGGCGGCATGCTTGTGCCAGCCAGGGTACATGGGCACGGACTGCCAGACAGGTGGGTGGCAGGAGCGGGCGCCGGGGAGGGACAGTGACGCTGCACACCTTGGCAAGCTGCCTTCCCACCCTGCCTCACCCCTGGCCATAGTTTTAGGAGGGGAGCGCTCAGCGTTGCTGGTGGTGCTGACTTTTTTTCCCCGGACGTCACCTTCCCCATCGCGAGCGTCATCCAGGATGGGAGGCAGTGGGTGAACCGGCAGCCTGGCAGTGCCCGTGTGTGGGCTGACCACCCCTCCCGGCCTCCGCTTGCAGAGGTGAACGAGTGCGAGTCCAGCCCGTGCCTGAATGGTGGGCACTGCATCGACCTGGTCGATAACTACACCTGCGTGTGCCTGGAGCCCTTCGTGGGACAGCGCTGCGAGACAGGTGCCTGCTCCTGCCCGCACCCTGGTCTGACCCGCGCCGGGGACTGTCCCCTCCATGCTCCACTGGCAACCACAGTTCCTCTCCCAGCACCAGGCTCTGCTCATCACTCGCTTGCTTGCCTTCTCCTGTCCCAGACTCATCTTCCTGCGAGGACCGGAGCTGCCAGAACCGGCAGACATGCAACTACATCCGCCCCGGCCGCTACATCTGCACCTGCTCCCCAGGTTATTACGGCAACAACTGCCAGTACGGTGAGTGGAGGTGCACCTCGCCCAGCCTGGCATGGGAGCCGGTTTTGGGGGAGCTGGGTGGGAAGGGGCAAATGGCTAAAAAGGGGCTGTGTCACCGCCGAAAGCTGGCAGGAAGCGCATGCAGAGGGGTCGTGGTGCTGCTGGGAGGGAGCCCCGTCCATGGGGTCCGCTTGGCTGTGGCGGGGTCTGTGGCATGAAGCTGGGCTAGACCGGCTCTGCCCCGGCCAGAATGCGGGCAGCTGCCTGGAGACAGAGCAGGGCTATGTCTGCGAGTGCCAGGAGGGCTACACTGGGCAGGACTGTCGAGACAGTGAGTACCGGGGGTCTCTCTGGGGGGTTGTCACATCTTTAGTGGAGCCCTCACACCCCTGAGAGGGAGAAGCAGCAGCCCTGGAGAGGGCCCTGGACTGAACAGTGGGGCTGTCCAGCTGGAGGCCGTGCCTGGGCGTCTGAGGGCACTCATGGCTGCCACCCACCTGAGCTCCCCCGCCCCGTGCGTGGCATCTGGCAAAGCTGCTTGGCTGTCCCAGCCCCACAAGCAGGAGGGGTCCTGGGAAGCTCCACTCTCTTCTCTTTGCAGAGCTCTCAGAGGGCTGCGAGTGTCGCAACGGGGGCAATTGTCTGGAGGGGAACGTCACCGTCTGCCAGTGCCCACCTGGGTTTTTTGGTCTCCTCTGTGAATTTGGTAGGTGAAAGCTTCTCGCTTGCTGTGTTTGCTCCCTCTCTGGGATGCTTGAGCCAGGCAGGCTGTGGGGCAGCAAGGAGAGACTCTGCCCAAGCCTGAGCCTAGCACGGTATCGGGGTGATGCACTGAATTTAAGCCTGGAAATATTGTCCCCTGGTGAGGAGGCAACACATCCATCTCTATCACTCCCCTTTAAGCTGTGCCTCTGCCAGCCCCTGGCCCCAGCCCGGTTCCCCTGGGTGGGGGGGGAACCACAGCCTTCATGCGCTCCTGCTCCTCTGATGCTTGCTGGGCATCTAGGCTGGCCCTTACCATTTGCACGGTCTGTAGCGTGGTGTACCGAGGGTCCCTCCCATCTCATCAGGCCCTGCAAAGTTAGGAGGTCCCCATTCGTGGCCAGGCAGGCGGCTGGGTGTCCTGCTGCCGGCTGATGGAGACCGGCGCTGGCCGTGTGTTTGCAGAAGTCACCACCACACCGTGCAACGTGAACACGCAGTGCCCGGATGGCGGGTACTGCATGGAGTATGGCGGGAGCTACCTCTGCGTCTGCCACACTGACTACGGCACCAACCACAGTGAGTGTGGTCCGCAGGGATGCAGGACCAGCCCCAGGGAGGGATGCGCGACGGGGGCTGAGGGGGTGAGAAGGGGTGCTGTCATCAGCCAGGGAGCAGCCCTCACACCCCTGGCTGTACGTCCTCAGTGATGCCCCACGTTTGGCTTTGCAGCGATGCCATCCCCCTGTGACTCGGAGCCCTGCCTGAATGGGGGGTCCTGCGAGGTTCACGATGACTCGTACACCTGCGAGTGTCCTCGAGGCTTCCTTGGCAAGCACTGTGAGAAAGGTACCTGCATGGAGCTCCCCGCAAACCCCAGGACCTGGCAGGGGGTGGGAGAAGAGCTTGGACCCTTGTGGGAGATGAGCAGCTGCTTGCTGGCCTGCAGCTGGAAGTGGGTGCAGGTTATCCCATCCCATCCCGCAGGCTGGAGGGGGGATTGTGTGGCTCCCTGACAGTCGCAGCAGCTGATCCAGTTGTGTTTCCTGTGCAACACCATCAGTGTTGGAGTTTTTTTCCATACCCAAGCTTCTGGCCTCAGGAGCAGCCACCAGTCCCATAGCATCGTGTTCCTGTGGTCTCCGGAGGCCCCGGCACATGTCTACATGGATGTTGTTGAGCTCGGGGCTGTGAGGCCCGGGTGCGCTCAGCTTTCCCGCAGCGAGGAGTTTGGTGGGGTGCTGGCGGGAGGCGGTGGCTATTGGGGTGCCAGCAGCAGTGAGTGACCCCCGCTCTGGGCACTCTCTCCGCAGCCAAGCCGCGGCTGTGCAGAACGGGACCCCGGCGCACCCGGG